GGATGAATCATGCGGATTTGTGATGTTTTGGACAATGTTGTCGAGCTTTTATCTTGCCCTTAAATTTAGCAAAATAATTCTGGTATTCACTTGAGCCTCCCAAAGTATTCTTTTTGAGCATGCCACCATAACTAAATTGATTTTCGGTAATTTAGTTCCTATAATTTTTCTCTCTTTATTTGGGAACAGTAGATATTTTGGCTTATTGCAATAACTTCCTTTGTCCCCAATTTTTAGGGCTTTCTAACCATTAGAAATATAATAAAAACAATTATTTTAAATAAACTCAGTCAGCTACATAAATCCTTATCGTCAGAATTTCTATGGATTGAAATTTTGCAATCATATTAAGCTGACAGCAATGTTGTTCTAGCCTTGTAGGTGAAGATAACAGATTGAAATTAATATTTTGCTTCCCATCATTTTCTTCACATAGATGGGTTAGTGTTGCTTGTTGCAGGTTTCAATTCAGATTTCTTTCCAGTTTCCACAACAACTAATGTTCTTAAGTAAATCATAGTTCCTTACTTCCTTTAATGTGTTTTGTGAATTCCTGGTCCTCGCCAGGTAGGGCAGACTGTGTCATTTTAAGAGTATATTTTTGGTTGTTGCATTTCAATTACCATTTCTCCATTATTCTGAAAGACTTTCAACTGTACTTTGCTCTTTAAAACTTGATTGTTAATGCATTTGGATCCTGTCTTTGGCCTGTATTTTCAGGTCAAAATCGTGATGTACTTTAATATCGTCATCTGTCATGTTGCATATGGAATGAAAAATCGCAGTGCCTATTTTGAGTTTCCTGTCGTACAGTTTCAGTTCACTTTGCTCTTTCCCCTTATGTCGACAATATAGAATTGCTTTATCATGGTGATGTCCTGCTCAAATCGGAAATAACCCCTCATGTTTAAGTTTCCACTCTGGTATTCAGGAAATGGCAAAAGGAACCAGGGGAAGACGAGGGATTGCTTCAAGACAGTGCAGGTCAACTCCATACCCTCTGCCAGCTACTAATCAAACCGAAGTGACAGAACAAAAGAAGTGCTCCAAAATCTTCGATAAGAAAGACTGGGAAGATGCTACTTGTTCTGTATGTATGGAGTGTCCCCATAATGCTGTTCTTCTATTGTGTTCCTCCCATGACAAAGGATGCCGTCCTTTCATGTGTGGGACCAGCATCCGCTATTCCAACTGCCTTGACCAGTACAAGAAAGCGTACACAAAAGTAACTCCTTCAGACACTCGTCCAGTAGGGTATGATTCACTCGATAGTCAAGTCATGAGTCCATTATTATTGTGAGGTTATGGAACTTGCATGTCCCCTTTGTCGTGGCCAGGTGAAGGGATGGACTGTTGTTGAGCCTGCACGAGAACATCTCAATGCAAAGAAGCGTAGCTGCATGCAAGATAACTGCTCTTTTGTTGGAACATATAAAGAATTGCGGAAACATGTTAGGGTAGAGCATGCTTCTGCTAAGCTACGTGAAGTGGATCCCGTTCTAGAGCAGAAGTGGAGAAAGTTGGAGCATGAGAGAGAGACACAAGATGTCGTGAGCACGATAAGGTCATCAGTGCCAGGGGCAGTGTTCTTTGGCGACTACGTGATTGAAGGAAGTCATTATGGGTTTAATTCAAGCGAAGAGGAGCATTATGATGCAGATGGCATGGAGCAGGACGAGGGCTCCGAAGTGGGAATAGATCGCAATTTAATGCGCTTCTTTCTTTTTTTCCAGGCATTTGGTTCTGCAGGTAGCAGATCGCATGAAAGAGATTCTGACCACTCGTTAGATAGAGGTGCTTCTTATTACTTTGATCAAGATGATGATGATTTCAGTTTAGATGACGGCAACTCTAACACGTCACTGACTGGCCGTCTACGTCGTCGAGGTAGAGTCCTTTCGGGAAGAAATCGTAGAGAGGGAAATGGAAACTGAAGTAGATTCTTATTGTTTCAGAGAAGGTAAGAAAATGTGAAGTGTAGATTTCTAGGTCTTAGTCCGTGGGTAGAAAAGTGTAAACATTTGTACCTTTATGCTTATTTACTTCTTATATTCCAGACTTCATTGCTGGATGGCTCAAGAATATGGAGGATCCGATAAACACTTGTTCATACAACTATTAGTCTGCAGTTTCCTGATTCACTTGTGTTGTAAATTGTTGAAATTCTTCGTGGTTTTGCTCATGAAAATTTAAGTTCTCTTTCCTCTGTGTTGCATTTATTTCTGGGAATAGTCGGCATTGTTATACTACGAAAAGTGAATTTGTTTCTTTTCTATTTGATTTTGATGATCGAAAACTGCAGGAAAGTAGAGCATCAAGATAATTTTCCGATATAATCAGATTCAAGAGATTTTATTATCTAATTGCTTTGTCTCCTTTTTGCAGGTCGAAACAGTGACTAAGATTAATGTATTTTGTAGGAATTTTATAAACGCGTTTAAGTTCGCACTTGAAGAATTAACTTTAAACTTGTAAGAACTTATCGACATGCTCCCATGTCCTTTGATAATATCATAATTTTAATGGATCAATTAAAAAATATGACTTCACGTCTGTCTTTTCTTGTTATATAACGAGAGAGAGAATGGACGAAAGTGTATCCAAGAATGAAAAATAAAAAATCACAAGTTAGTCATCCTTTAGCGTTGATAGATTTTGTTCATCAGACAAACAAATAATCACATTATATGATCCTTCGATTTTGAAAGACCATTTCATTTGGCCCCTGTTGGTACAGATTTTTTAAATTCAATTTTTCTTAAATTAACTTTAATCAAACATTTTTTCAATAAAATAAGTTTACATGTGAATCCATAATTTTTTCCTACATTTCAATCACCCCTCCAAAAGAAGACTTTTCACTAAAAAATCTACCTCAAATAGTCCCTTTTACTTTCTTCATTTTGGCCTTAATTTTTTAATTTTAATTTTTTTTAATTTAAGTTTTCGTTAATTTATGCTATAATGCGATTTTGACTATATATAATTTCCATACTACGCCTAGGTTTCTTATTAGGGTGTTGTCTTTCAAATTGTTTAAACCTCGGCCATTTGGGTGTTAATATGTTACTCAGAATAAGCTTTTTTGAGATTCTCCGTACGGTGTTTGTTACCTATATATAATATTCTCAAACGAAATTTAAAATTAAAAGTTGTTCAATTCACTATTTGGCATCATATTTCAAAACAACCAATGGTTACAAGGCAATTGAAAATGAATATTGTACATGGAAGTGTCCAATGGCATTCCTTGAACTTCAGATAGATTAAAAAAAGAGTGCCACATATTCTTACTACAGTACTATCAAGTACTATCCAGTCCAACTTAGTCAACAAGCTAGCTAATGAAATAATTGTCCATACACTGTTGGTTCTTCAATTAGTTATAATCAGAGTAAAAATGCATAACTAGAAAACAGGGGAGTGGCACAAGCTACTATTACTAGCAAGGTTCCTTGATGCAAAACCTAGATGGCTCTCAAAGTTATGTAAGTCCATTCAATAAATCAAACCACAAACATGAACTGCACCGTAAGCCTACCTTCATGAAAGTGTTGCTGTCAATTCAGCTTTCTTATCTTCCAAAAGCTTCAACTCATTGCGCCAACCTTCTAATTTGGCTACCTTTTCTAATTGTTCCGGCTGCATATCTTTCTCCACTGTTTTCTGCTGCTGAGCTTCAGTAAGCCGAATCTATATAAAAAACGCAGAATTTGTAAATCAGAGTTTGAACATATCCAAATTCAAGTGCTGATACCAAGAACCAAAAAGAAATACAATATATTTGCAAACAATTGTGGGACACAATAATCTGGTTGAATTTACCATCTAATGCAAAATACTACGAAAACTACAACATTCATATTCACCACGGATACAAAAACTACATGCACAAACTGGGAGCCCTGATGTAGTTGAAAATGGGGTCTAGTGTAAATTTTACATCATCGTATTATCTTTCATCTCTTTACTCAAACTACACTCTTTCTAATCTACAATTTGACAATCAAAAAATATGATAGCAGATACGCATCAAAGAGCTTAAAGCAATTCCACCAACTATCCTCAGGAAAAGAGCTTATATAACACAATAAGAAAATAATATAAAATAGAATTACAACAAATTTATTTGCAGAAGCATAAATACAGTTAGCTTAACTGGCACAGAAGCTTATAATAAAAAATAAACTGCAGATAGATGTGATATTGTATCTTTGGCAGGGGATTTAATTTGGAGATGCGTACAACTGCTACATTTTCCAAATAAACAAAATCAGAATTCACAGTATATCTGTTGGACATAATAATGCAGCAGAGTGAGGTCTTTTAACATTTTAATACTCATGCATACTACAAGCACAACATATATTTACCTTCTTTTTCAGTGCTCGGATTTTTTTATCAATATCTTGAACCTGATCCTCTGGAGTAGAACACACTGTTGAATTTGAAGGTAGTATGACCATACGAGTACTTGAACTAAGGGAGAGTTCATTCATATTGGATGCAACTGACTCCACATTCATTGGCACGTCATTTGAATCTTCAGCAGGCAACATATCATTGTTCTCCAAAGTTTTATCCTTGTCAAGAGCAGCCTGTCATAAATCATGTTTACCAGAACCTACTTAGAGATGTACAAATGGAGAATTTATCAGCATTTCAAATCCAGCACGAGGTGCTCCACATACAGGACAGAGGACGTCTCTCAGGCTCTTGGAACACAGATAAATATATATATCAACGTGTAGTATAGATATAAATATCGTGAAAACGGCATAATATAATTCAGGTATCTGTCAATTGGTCTTGAGGCCAAATCTTGATCTAATTTGCCTTTCAATGTAAAACTGACCGATTATGTTACAGTTGCATATATATTCAACATAGGAATTGGGATGAGATGCACGTACATCTTCTAAGCTGAGAAGTCTTGTCATTGCTGCAATTGGTTACTCGACCTTTTGCCTAGCACAGATTGATTGTCAGTGAAAGAAGATTCAATGTGGTGTTTCAAAACAGTACTTGGATCTGGGTAGTACTTGTTATCCCATTAAACTTCAATTTGATTTCTCATCTCCGGTCATTTGAAAAAATTTAAATGAATCGATGAGGTTTATATATTGCATATTGCATTGATGTTTGCAAAAGTACACTTTGAGAGAAAAATGCCATCTCGTCTTTTACAAATCATTTTGAGACCAAATATATTATTCGGAACTATTGGAATCTAGTGCCATAGAGTAACTTGCTTATTTTGAAGATCTTAGATTTGTCATTCAAGTTATAATCTAATAATTTATTTTTTAAGAATTAATTACGAACATGGAAGTTTGATGCTTTGCCAGATACATATTGCTCTCTACAAATAAACCCAAAAAAAAAAAAAAAAAAGGGTTTTTCGGAGATCATTTTCTTCGATTTTCCTTTCCTTTTCCTTTGCATTCCACTTACCTTCAACATAATCACAAATTTTTTTCTATTATTAAGGAAAAAAATTGCTTTATTGAAAATAGTGCAAAAAACCTATTAACTATTGTTGCAGTGGCACATCCAAGCACAGAAAGCATCAGTAAATTAAAGTGCAACTGAGCAAACATTAATTTCATCTTATAGACTGAATATATTTGGGGGACAACAAAATTTCTACAGTAAATAATGGACAAAAATGCACAATCAAAATCCCTCAAAATAAGCATCCATAAGCAGCTATTGTTCTACTGTTTTTGCCATAATAATCAGTAGACCATATTACCATTCAATCACGTGATTTATAACTTCGCCCCTCCAAAATTAGACAAGATTAGTTCATAAGCTTCATGGTTTCATTTTGTATTTGAACAGGTGGATATTCAAATCCATTCCATGAAACTTTAAATTGGTGGATTTGAATCAAGCCAATTCAGATTCATCAGTCTGGAAGCACCTCATTCAAAAATCTATTAATTCAAAAATCCTTTGCCTATTCATTTCGTTTCATCAACCAATCACAAGTACTTAGTTAAAATATTGGTGCATCCCCTTTTATAGATAATTATACTTATGCTTTAACACTGGTTTAATTTATTCAGGAATCACCCATGTACTTCCAATTCTATATTAAATGGATTATAAACACTGAGTTCTTCATAGAATAGCACTACAAGAAGCTTATTAAGCTATCAGTATTACCACTACACGAAGCTCAACTTTACGATTGACAACCCAGAAAAACAACACCTAATAAAAATATTATTCAACACGGAAAATTGAGAAAACGAAAAAATAAAATTAAATAAATGATTACCTGTAGACGTTTTTCTTTCTTTCTCTCATTCCTTTTACCCGATTTGGACTTAGGTTTGGCTTCTACCACATCTGGATTATACCCCGGCGGCACCTCCTGCGTGGCCCCCATTTCCTTCTTCCACTGTCACCACTCCCATCAATAAACGCAAATTTATACACACATCTATCAGTAATTGTCATAAACAAGTACGTAAATCACTTACAAGGGCGCCTCTGGATTGATAAATGGCGACTTCGTCTTGAGGCGTATAACCCGCCCGAATTCGTACGGGCTTGCGGAGGGAGCCGTCCGGTCGTCTGGTCGGGGCGAGGATTCTTTCCCCTTCTTTCGGCGTTTTGCCGAGTTCAGCTGTGAATTGACTCACTGCCTCTTCTCCTCTTCCATTTCTGCTTGTCGCCATTGCTATAATCGATTGATCGTGTGTCCAAAATCTAAACGGGCGTATTCAACTGAGGTTTTGAAGATTCTGATAAAAGTTTTGTTTTTTTTTTTTTCCTTAAGTGAGAGCTCAGTGGATTTTTTAGATTTTATTTTAAGCCAATTAAATCAATTTTTTTATTATTTTAATCGTTATTTTTGAATTTTTCTTTCATAAATAAAACAACATTATATCTAGTAGTAAAAAATCAATTATCAAAATCTCAACCACATAAACACGTAGACTTTTTTTAGAATTTAAAAGGTTTTTAAAACTTTTATTTGAAGTAGAATTTACGTCTTCCCCCTCCCCTTTCAGTAAAATAAAGTGATTTTAAAAAGAATAAAAATTTTAAAAAATAAATAATAATAATAATAAAATAATATATTTAAATTTAATTATAAATTGATCATATAAAATTTTGTAATTAAATAAAAAATTGATATTTTTTCACAAAAAAAAATGAATGAAAAAAAGAAAAAAGTTATTTTTCATAGAAAATAGATACAAACAAAGAGAGATAAATATGAACAAATATAATTAATAGAAAAAAATAAATTTTAATCATAACTCTAATTTTCGTAAAAGGAAAAATGAAAGAGAAATATTGGAAAAATATGCATCGCTTTTAAAATTTTTGTGAAAGTTTTCCAAAATCTTATGATTAATGAGAGATAAATGTTGAGATTTGATGAGTACTTTTAGCTTAAAAATTAGTACCCCTCAAGATTTATAAATATTTCTAAAAAATTTTAATTGAATACACCGTAACTTTTAAAGACTTTCTAAAACTCTCAATTGAATGCACCAATACTTTTAGAAAGTCTCAAAAAATCTATATTGAATATACATGCACTTTTTAAATTTTAAAAAGTCATTAAAAGTTTCAATTGAACATATCCCTAAATCTTGATTTGTGAGAATTTAGTATTCGATTAATAAACTAATCAGCGTGTTTATTAAAAAGGACAACAATTTTGTAGCGAGGATTAGTGAGCTAGAAGTATGTACTTTGATTGGTTCATCGTGCGAGGGCTGAACATCTCTGAGTCCTGATTGGTTGAGGATTTTTTAGACCCAAAAAAAAAATCTTTTTTTTTTATTATTATTTCACTATTTCAACCGTTATCTTTTACTTCTTCACTTACAGATGGAACTCATTTTTTTCTCTAACGGTAAAAAAATTAGCTCTTATAATCACTACCGAACAGACCCAAAAAACTAACTTTTATATAGTTAAAAAGTTGAAAAAAAAATTTGACGAGATCACGTGTAAAATTATTTTATTAAAAAAATGTAATTAAAATTTAATTTAAAAAAATAATGATGGAAATAGGAATTGAATGTATATTGGTTTTTTTTTTTTTATTTATTCTCGTTTCTAAAATTCAGCTCCGATTTGGCAATAACTTTCTAAAACATTTTTTTTTTTCAAATTTACTTTCAATCACACATTTCATGATATCCAGTTTTATCAACTTTTTACTTAAAAAATTTCATTAATTTTCAAAATTTACTAAAACCTTATTAACAAAATGAAACAGGGGCTTAATTACAATAATACTACCAGGACTACTCATGAGAAAAAAATAAGTTAAAAAACTCCAAAACCTGGTAGTTGATCTAACTAAAAAGATAAACCTAGGTGCATAAGTAGTGACTAGCATTATTTGTCGTTGGACGGCCCAAAGGATGCCAAGAGTAAGTCAGTTTTGGGGACCGAAGGCAGTTCTTCGTGCCTTGGACACGTAGCTTACCGAATCAGTTGCGACAAATATGGGAATGCATGCTACGAAAGATAGGTTCAAGTCTGATACATCAACCATCTACTCAATATCCTTGTACAAGTCCACAATCACTGCACGAGATGAACCTTGGTTTTTTGAATTGAAATTGGCCTCAAGTGTAATAGGACTCCCAGTTACTGCGCGTGATCGTATACGAGGTGCTCCCCATGAATTATAATTTCCCCTCTATAATAGATAAATTACCATTAATTTTGCCATTTGAAAAAAATAAAATAAAAAGTGGGTTCATTCAATAGCAATTATCAAGATATATCAGAATCCAGTAACCAAGAAATGATATAGTTACAATAACATTCACAGACCTCAGAGGAGGTATCATACAAAGTTCAGCAAAGAGTTAATGTTCTCTGGTTAAAGTGCAACTTGGAACCAGTAGCTTTCACCGTTTACCTATACAATTTCAAAAATTCATTCTGTTTATCCTTTTCTTGTTGCCAATGTTTTGGCATGAGATGATTTGCAAATATAATTGGAGTGTCACTCTCTTTTACCCTCTTCTGTTTCTTCTTCTGAATCAGATGTCTCGCTGTCATCCTTCCTGTCTTGCTTCACTAAACTGATACCTTTTGGAGTTTCTCTACACAAGGATTCTTCTTCTTCATTGTCCATCTCGTCTCCCTTGCCATCCGAATATGCATAACTGGCAGGAGTTGTCGTAAAATTGAGACAAAATAGTTCCACGGAATAAAGACAATATTCAATGAAAGTGTAGATAAAAAGTGGGTAATAGTTGTGAATGTGTGAAGAAAATTAATATATGACTGTGACTTCAAGTTATAAGGGTAACACTGAAACACAAACACACTAAACCTACCGCTGGGAGCTTTGTGATGGAGCCCAGAGATAGCAGATAACACACAGCAAGGCAAATGCAAGAATGTCCCAGAAAGCAGTGATAATCCAGGCACTCTGCCACCTCTCATTGAATGGATCTGTTGCTTTAAAGTAAACCTGCAATAATAAAAGTCACCAATTAATGATTTTAATTTCATAATGATTTTATGAGAGTTTCAAGAAGTTGGCCATTCAGTTTCTCTCTCTTTTCCCATCATTTCTTCTAGGTGCTCCAAAATTAGAGAGAGCTACCTATATTCACATCTAGCAACCAATACTCGAGTAACAAAAACTAATAAGTAGCATGCATTAGCACAGGTTCAGCTACTTTTCCTTGGCATTAGCACAGGTTCAGCTACTTTTCCCATCATTTCTTCTAGGTGCTCCAAAATTAGAGAGAGCTACCTATATTCACATCTAGCAACCAATACTCGAGTAACAAAAACTAATAAGTAGCATGCATTAGCACAGGTTCAGCTACTTTTCCTTGGCATAAAACGTGGTGAGGGACAGAAGGTTTTACCGAAAAGACCTACCTTTCAAACTTATTGTGGAAAACATTCTCACATTTCATTTTTTGACATTTTTGCCCTTATTTCCACTTTTCTTTGCGCTAAACGTCCCTTTTTACCATTTTTAACGTAAAATGACCAAAATACCCTTCTATTTAAACAAAACAAAAAAAGAAAAGAAAAGAAAAAAATTGCAACTAGAAGCCCAAACTTTACATATGTGCAAATCAGCCCAAAATTGGGAAAAAAAAAAAAAAAAGGTCACTAAACCACCTTAAATCGACCACCACTTTGAAGCTAAATAACTCCGGCCAACCACCGCCGAAACCATCGGACCTCCATACCGCCGGATAGCCCTCACTCCCCTATACACATACCACCCAACATCCAATTACCATGTCAACAAATTTGGTAGAAATTGCAAACCAAAATATCGAACTTGCAAATACAAATACGGGGCGACACCACCTGTTCCGACAAGACTCATGCCATTCCCAACATTCTAGTCAAATATACACACCAAGACGTCCCTGTCCATGGTCCTCAAATGTCATTTAATTCACGCAATCAAACCAAAAAGGCTGCAGCTTCGAACACAGCCATTTCACTGTTTTCCGGGGAATTGTTCGACGCCGGTGGTGGGACCCATGATCGGGGACCACTACCTCAAGTACCTACTCCTCATGGCGCATCCAATGAGCATATGGGTCTTCCCCAATTTTGCATGGACATGGCAGTTCATTCAAAAAACGGAGAAAACACCAAACCCTTCTATCCCATTTTAATTGGTGTTCCTCCACACCTACAACCAACAAATTGCTCCAACTAGAATACAATTCAAAGTGTAACGACTCTAGGTAGTGAATCAATTGCTGTAATTCACCATTCAAACGAAGCAATTCAGAATTTTTGACCAACAGTGGAATGGGAGTGGGGGGTGAGGTGTGGAAGACGTGTTTTTTTATTTTTGGGTTGATTTGCACATGTGGAAAGTTTGGGCTTATAGTTTCAATTTTATTTTATTTTTTGTTTAAATAGAAGGGTATTTTGGTCATTTTACGTCAAAAAATGGTAAAAAGAACGTTTAGCGCAAAGAAAGGTGAAAATAGGAGCAAAAATGCCAAAAAAATGAAAGGTAGGGACGTTTTCCATAATAAGCTTGAAAGTTATAGACGTTTTGTGCCAATTACTCTTTCTTAAACTAGCAAGTAACTAACGGGTGAGAGCACATAGTGGGTCTTCAAATTGAATGGCAAAATGGTGATCTGTCACGATATATCTCTAATTGCAAAATTTTAAATTTCACGAATGGTGAGTCTTCTAGCAGCACCTTGGGATGGAATAGACTAATAAGGTCGAGGTTTAAACAAGGAAAGGCTTACAGTGAATACCTAGGCACCTTGAGACGTGGAAGCACCATCACAGGGATTGGGAACAATCGAGCAACAATACCAAGTATTCCTTGTAATATCGAAATCTAATGCCACTAGTAATTGTAACAACCGATCCAAATATGTCTTTCTATATACAGAGATTATCATTAGTATACCTTCAAAAAAGACGGTATTTTCACAACAGGAATGGTTTATTCTTTTAAATGATGGATAGAAGTATAGCACTAAGATTTCACAGAGATGAATTTGAGGTCTAGATCCTAACTTTCAAATACAGAAGAAATAAGAAGGGAGAATTTTATAAAGAATGTGTGTAATTTCCTCTCTCTCTCATTAGATAGCTTTATGGCAAAATGGAAAACACATTTCCTTGATAAAACATGGAATCACTGAGTCAGATAAGGTTCATTTACCTTTTCTAATCTTAATATTAAAACAGTAAAATTCTATACTGTAGTTATAATAGTGCAGATATTCAACACAATAAAGAAGCCCAGAAGATATTGAAAAATGTCCCAAAAAGAAAATAACAACTTGAAAAGTGTTTCATTTATGGAGTATTTACCTCGTATCCTATCCACACAACTGATGCTATAACTGTAACTGCTAGTGCATTTGAAAATTTTCTGTAAATATCCAATTTAATAGAACTCCTTTTAGCCTGAAAAGGAAAGATATTATAGTAAGAACATGACATATGCTGAGTGTTAGATTTATCAGAGAAAAATCGAGATTTCATAACAATACCACAGTGAAGCTAAGTAAGAGTTCAAACTGAAAGTGGGATGTATGGTACCTGTAGTTGCTCTAGCGTCTTTGAAAGAGAAGTGAAAATCCACAAGATCAAAAAGGCATCCAAAAATGCAACAGGAAGGACCAGAAAAACTCTGGCTCGCCCTGCTATGTCATTTATAATTCCCACATACTCGGTGATGTTGAGCAGTTCTGATGCTAGGAAATAAGTTATTCCGAGGAGCAGCACCTTTGTTGTCAGACCACCAAGGGTTGGACGGACAACACCATAGCCCATTGCCACAGAAAGAATAAGAAGGCGCGAAACAGTTTTTCTTATAGCTCCAATTGTCACAACCCAAGTGGTGATTCCTACTGGCCTTGTTCCCGTGTTGTTAAAGTATGCGTAGTCTATGTACCAGAAGGTCATCTCCAACAACCCAAGAGCAATTACGGAAGTAATGCAGTGCTGTAGTAGTAAAACATCGTTCCAATGTCTCCCATACTGAAAGAACCAGATGAGACTGAGGATAGCATACCCGATGGACATAAAGACATAAAATTTCATCAGGGGGGCCATTCTCCCAGGTAAATAGCCATCAGGATTTTTCCACACTGTCCTCCCTGTCACCCTCATTCCCTTTAGTTTCGGATCACATGTTATAAAGAATAAGTTGTACATACCAGTCCTTTTTATGTTAATTTCCTTATTCTTTTTCATATGGGTGGATAACATGGTTCCTCTAAAATGAACATTCACAACAACAGGCCAGTTATTATCAGCTGGTGAAGATGTTCTGATAACTTCTCCTTCTTTGCAACCTTCCAGCTTGGCAAGATCAGAGGTGCAACAAATAGACCTCTGTCCACCATAAGCAGATCCGCCAATATTATCACGATCAGCAGCCTCAAATATTATAACTTGAACCAACCCACTCCTGTATGCCATATTTGGGTGCTGATCAGCAGCTTCTTTACTCCTCCAAAATGTGATGTTCTCAAATCTAGATTAATTTGAATGTTTCAGTTTATGTAACTAACTAGGATAACAATATCATAATTGAGTAAAAAAGAGTCATGATTGCAGTTCTTTCATTTTCCTATCATGAACAAAAGAGAAAGAAAATAAAAGTCTTGATTGGATATTGGTTGCTAGACAGAATAAATAAGTGCTTGTAAGTTTTCAAGATAATTAAGTTGTGCACTTCAGAAGATAAAAATATGTAATCCAATTGGCATAGATTCGACCAGAGGAGGCAATTTAATCCAATCCAAGCTCGCAATATTTAGATTCAACAAAAATGAACTGTGTCGAAACCACATATGCGACATGGTATAAGAATTATAAACCCCAACCTTGCCCCCAGGGCACATCTCCAAGTGATAAAAGGGGAGGGTGGAGAAATTCAGCTTTGCTTGAGGCTGCTGCGTCAAGGGTTCGAATTCTAAAATATGGATTTGACTCTTGGGTAAATACAAGTGTACAAGCAACCTTCCACCCTGTACCCTCCACCTTGGAGGCATAACCTACGATTTACCTCCCTCACGATACTTCAAGGCAAGTGCGGTGGGGGACCTTTAAGGTTGGGGTTCAACCTTTTTATAAACCCCAACCTTGATGAAGAGGAAAATTCAAGCGTAAGCAATCTATTCAACCCACCAATTATTCAGCTCAACCACCGACAGCCAGATTCAAAAATTTAGCTCACTACCACTGACCAGCCTATTTCAGTTTAGCTCCCTGAATTTCGAAATCTCGTAATGACAACAAAGCGTGTGAAAGCATCCAACACATTTTGTTTCCCTCCTCAGTTTTCCCGACAACAAAAAATAAAGCTCGTCAAATTCAAATAATGCATACAAGTGCGAGGGTAGATCTGATTAAATATCATTAACTAATTAATTTTGTGCGTGATAGAGATGAATCTAATATGTAAATGTCGCACACATATACATCTCAGAGACTGTAATTACAGCTCACTACCACTGACCAGCCTATTTCAGTTTAGCTCCCTGAATTTCGAAATCTCGTAATGACAACAAAGCGTGTGAAAGCATCTAACACATTTTGTTTCCCTCCTCAGTTTTCCCGACAACAAAAAATAAAGCTCGTCAAATTCGAATAATGCATACAAGTGCGAGGGTAGATCTGATTAAATATCATTAACTAATTAATTTTGTGCGTGATAGAGATGAATCTAATATGTAAATGTCGCACACATATACATCTCAGAGACTGTAATTACCGAATGTAAGAGCGACTATCACTCGAAGCGGCGACGCCTTCACTGCCGCCGGAGAGCAAATAAGCAGTGCCGACTTCTCTGACTGAATCTCGATCATAGATGTGAATTGAGGCATCAGCTGATCTAAGAGCTGATATTAATAATATTACTGAAAATAGCAATATGAGAATGGCGCACTGATTTGAAGTGCTGCTCGCGAACCCCATGGAGACGTGAGACAAACACTAAATCCCTATTTTGTAGAGAGAGAAAGAGGTAGATCGGAGAAATCGTGAAGCAAAGAGTGGGTGACCTAAAGAGTAAACTAGAAATCAAGCAAGCGACAGAGAAGATCTTGGCGAGAGGGACATATCACCACACGCCTATTAAACCGAGGGACTGCTGCCTTGTTTCGAATTTATCATGTTCATGTTTGGCTAAACTTCCAAAGTAAAAATAAGATTTAGCCAGTTTGATGCCCTCGGGGCACGTTCCAACTGATAAAGAACGGAGTTTTTCAAGACGGGCAGTTTAGAGGTCGCGGGTTCGATTCATGATGCTCTTGAAAGGCAAGACTTTCTCCTGGAAGGCAGAATATTTCCTGAAAGACTGGAGTTACTTAAAAGTCAAGGCGCATACATGGGTTTGATTCGCTCGACACTTTTTGCAGTTCAATTGGGGAGGCTCATGGACCCTAGCTAGTTTGGGACACAACCCGCGATTTACCTAGTTTGTGTGAAGAGGGGCTGGATCGTAGACCCCAGGATTAGTCGCTGTAAGGTAGACACCTGGATATAAATAAAAAAAAAAAAGATTTAGCCAATTTGACAGTCACTACTTGGAAAAAAGTTAATATTTTAAGTAATAATTTTTAGAAGAATGTGTGATTATATAGTAGGAAAAAAATTTAAATTTACAGGTAAAATATTTTTTTATGTAAATGTATAGTTGAAAATGAATATATAGAAAAAAAATTCAAATAATAATTGTCAAACGGTATTGATATAATTGTATTGACGTTCTTTCAATTTTCATTAGAGCACTAAACTTCAATTTTAGTAATAGCATCAAACTTTAATTTAATTGCAATTAAGTAGCTCAAATTGAATTTTGTCAATCTACAGAAATGATTAGCGGACTGTTAAACCCCTGTTTGATATCTTTTACTTTAATTTGATTTATTTCTTATACTCATATTTAATTACACATTTACATATTAGAATATTTTACACGTAAATTTTTTATTTTTATTTTTAAACAATGTATTCTTCAAAAAAAATTATTCAAAACGATGTTTTTTCAATGGCGCTACATGGACAGGCTTAAAACCAAGGTAAAAAAAGGGTGGTGTGGCCTTAGAAGAGACACCACCAAAACCAAACGAAAGACAACTTTCAAAATTTGGAAATGTAAACCCACAAAACGTGTACCCTGAATATACCCACAAAATCCATTTCTTCCTAAATCGAAATCCACACCCTAACCTTCTTTGGCCGAACTTCAATCGAAGGTGACGCCACCGCTTTAGCAGCAATTCCAGCACTATTTGGCCACTGAACGTGTTAAGACTTGAGATCCATCTTACTAAGACAAGGTCAACCTTTTTAAATGGAGAAATTTAAGATCTTTATAAATTGGTGTTTATTTCGTTATTAAATTGATGTGAGATAACACATCTCTTAACAGACCCCCTCAAGATAGTGGCTCATTTGAGCAGATCAATCTTAAAATTTACAGGATGGCTCTGATACCATGTTAAGACTTGGGGTCAACCTTAATAAATGAAGAAGTCCAAGATCTTTATAAATTGGTATTTATTTCGGTATTAAACCGATGTGGGATAACACATCTCTTAACAGAACGCTTCATTCTTTGCCCGCATTTGAATTAGTGAAGGTTTTTCCTCTGCTTCGGGTGCACTTCGAGCCTTGGTTTCACTGCCTCTCCTTTTACCATCTCCGCCCACCCGCTAAATCAGCACTCTGATTCTCGCCGTCTCCCGTCAATTTTGACCTGTTTGGGTTGCATAGGTACATATGAAAATAGCCCACATTTTACTGTTTTCACCTCAATTCGGACCTGGGCTATGAATAAAATTTGAATGAATGGAGAATCAAAATGTATGAGTGAGACGTTGTCTATGAACTGTCTGTTATGTGGGTGTGTTAAAAGAGCTGGGGTTTAATATCCCTATGTTTGCTTGAAGGTTGACGTTGATGGTATGAGTAGATCTATGGGTCCTCTTGTCTCGTAATATCCCATTGATTAGGATAAGCATTTGTGTTGATCATAAAATGATCGATTGCAAATTTGAACTTAAAAAGCGAAAGGGGCCTCCTGGGATTATTATGACATATCACCACACGCCTATTAAACCGAGGGACTGCTGCCTTGTTTCGAATTTATCATGTTCATGTTTGGCTAAACTTCCAAAAGTAAAAATAAGATTTAGCCAGTTTGATGCTCCCAGGGCACGTTCCAACTGGTAGAGGACGGAGTTCTTCAAGACGGGCAGTTCAGAAGTAGCGGGTTCGATTCACGGTACTCTTGAAAGACAAGACTTTCTTCTGGAAGTCAGGATATTTCCTAGAAGGCCGGAGTTACTTAAAAGTCAAGGCGCATACATGGATTTGACTCGCTCGGCACTTTTTGCAGTTCAGTTGGGGAGGCTCTTGAACCCTGACTAGTTTGGGGCACAATCTGCGATTTACCTAGTTTGCGTGAAAAGGGGATAGATCGTAGATCCCAAAATTAGTTGCTGGAAGGTAGACACCTAGGTATAAAAAAAAATAAAAAAATAAAAAGATTTAGCCAATTTGACAGTCACTACTTGGAAAAAAGTTAATATTTTAAGTAATAATTTTTAGAAGAATGTGTAATTATATAGTAGGAAAAAAATTTAAATTTACAGGTAAAATATTTTAAATTTAGAGGTAAAATATTTTTTTATGTAAATATATAGTTAAAAATGAATATATAGAAAAAAATTTCAAATAATAATTGTCAAACGGTATTGAGATAATTGTATTGACGTTCTTTCAACTTTCATTAGAGCACTAAACTTCAATTTTAGTAATAGCATCAAACTTTAATTTAATTGCAATTAAGTAGCTCAAATTGAATTTTGTCAATCTACAGAAATGATTAGCGGACTGTTAAACCCCTGTTTGATATCTTTTATTTTAATTTGATTTATTTCTCATACTCATATTTAATTACACATTTACATATTAAAATATTTTACACGTAAATTTTTTATTTTTATTTTTAAATAATGTATTCTTCAAAAAAAATTATTCAAAACGATGTTTTCTCAATGGCGCTACATGGACAGGCTTAAAACCCAGGTAAAAAAAGGGTGGTGTGGCCTTAGAAAGAGACACCACCAAAACCAAACGAAAGACAACTTTCAAAAATTGGAAATGTAAACCCACAAAACGTGTACCCTGAATATACCCACAAAATCCATTTCTCCCTAAATCGAAATCCACACCCTAACCTTCTTAGGCCGAACTTCAATCGAAGGTGACGCGACCGCTTTAGCAGCAATTCCAGCACTATTTGGCCACTGAACGTGTTAAGACTTGGGGTCCATCTTAATAAGATAAGGTCAACCTTTTTAAATGGAGAAGTTCAAGATCTTTATAAATTGGTGTTTATTTCGGTATTAAATTGATGTGAGATAACACATCTCTTAACAGACCCCCTCAAGATGGTGGCTCGTTTGAGCAGACCAATCTTAAAATTTAAAGGGTGGCTCTGACACATGTTAAGACTTGGGGTCAACCTTAATAAATGAAGAAGTCGAAGATCCTTATAAATTGGTATTTATTTCGGTATTAAATCGATGTGGGATAACACATCTCTTAACAGAACGCTTCATTCTTTGCCCGCATTTGAATTAGTGAAGGTTTTTGAAGGTGACGCGACCGCTTTAGCAGCAATTCCAGCACTATTTGGCCACTGAACATGTTAAAACTTGGGATCCATCTTAATAAGATAAGGTCAACCTTTTTAAATGGAGAAGTTCAAGATCGTTATAAATTGGTGTTTATTTCGGTATTAAATTGATGTGAGATAACACATTTCTTAACAGAACCCCTCAAGATGGTGGCTCATTTGAGCAGACCAATCTTAAAATTTATAGGGTGGCTCTGACAACATGTTAAGACTTGGGGTCAACCTTAATAAATGAAGAAGTCCAAGATCTTTATAAATTGGTATTTATTTCGGTATTAAACCGATGTGAGATAACACATCTCTTAATAGAACGCTTCATTCGTTGCCCGCATTTGAATTAGTGAAGGTTTTTCCTCTGCTTCGGGTGCACTTCGAGCCTTTGTTTCACTGCCTCTCCTTTTACCATCTCCGCCCACCCGCTAAATCAGCACTCTGATTCTCGCCGTCTCCCGTCAATTTTGACCTGTTTGGGTTGCATAGGTACACATGAAAATAGCCCACATTTTACTATTTTCACCTCAATTCGGACCTTCGCTATGAATAAAATTTGAATGAATGGAGAATCAAAATGTATGAGTGAGACGTTGTTTATGAACTATCTGTTATGTGGGTGTGTTAAAAGAGCTGGGGTTTAATATCCCTATGTTTGCTCGAAGGTTGACGTTGATGGTATGAGTAGATCTATGGGTCCTCTTGTCTCGTAATATCCCATTGATTAGGATAGGCATTTGTGTTGATCATAAAATGATAAATTGCAAATTTGAACTTAAAAAGAGAAAGGGGCCTCCTGGGATTATTACAAGTCGGTAAGGGTCTCATTGATTCAACGATGACGATAAGTAACGAACATGGTTTAGTGGATAATAAAAATACTCTTTTGCCATTTAAAGTAATTGAGCTTATCTATTTCTTGATTTATTGAACTGTGATGCAATTGGTTTATTGGATCATTTATGCTTGGTTTACATATGCTTGTTTATTTGAGTCGATTGTGATCCATGGTTTATTCTCCTCATAGAATGGGTGGAAGGAATTATGGAATTTGCCACAGTTGTCGAGCATAAGGTCACTCCTTTGCCGAATGTCCACAAAAATGCCAATGCCCATTATGCAAGCATGGATTCGAGAAGTGTTTTGTGGTGAAGAAAGAGACACCCAACAAAGGGCAATTATTTCTTTATTGCAGTGATAATTGCGGATTTTGGAACTGGGTGGTGAAAGAAAAATCAAGAGGTTAATCCTCTAGCAGTGGCACTTCCTCAGCTAACACGACGACGAATGGAAGAGTTGGAGATATAGAACGAATTTTCCAATCTCGAGTTCGCCTCAATGACGAAGACGAACTACAAATTTCGATGATCGTGACGATTTGCAAGGCAAAATGTAGTACGAAAGAGAATGCAAAAGAAAATGGGTCGACATGATTAGTAGAAATTAATCAAACGGGTTATGACATGGAAATTTTTGCAATTTCAAAATCTTCCCATCAAGGGGATTTAGGCATGTAAATCTTCTATTTTGTGATGTTGTGTAAGATTGTTTTCGCATTTCGACTTAGCAGGACAATGTTAACATCCGTGTTTCTTACTCGATGCTTTGAAGTGCTTATAATGTTAAGGATTTCTATAAATTGAAGCACTTGGCATGATACCCATCGTACCAAAGACATGACATCAACGCTAATGGGGATTGCACTTAATAGATCATCAGGAAAAGTTAATAAATTTTCTTCACAAACCAAACATTCGAGGGATGAAATAAAGATTACAAACCATCACATAGGAGATGTAAACAAACACGCACAAATAAAGACTATCATGCATGCACTGAAGTCATGTGTTGAACAACCACACAAAATTATTTGTGTCTTTGTTCGATACCAAACCATAGCCTAATAGTGTTGATTGTCTGTGATAATTGACGCCAATAACTAGGGTGAATGACATGTCGTACTTATTAGTGAGATACGTGGTATCAAAAGTCAACACATCACCAAACTCCTTATATGTCTGTTTGCATCGATAATATGTCCAAAATGCATTTCTAAGAAGCGACTCGTCATCCAAATCCATATTAAAAGTAAAATACTGAACATTGTGCTTGCATTTTTTAGAAATATGCTTGTATTACTGCGGCAAGATTGTGCTTTATAAATTTTTTTCTTTGTTTTAAAAATTATTTTATTTGACTTTAGTTTAGCACAAAAGTAAAAAATAACTTTATCCGCTAAAGATTTAAATAAGATTTAAGTTACAATATTATTTATATTATGTAATTATGATTTTGAGATTTATCGTTTTGTTAGAAACTTCGAAAAGTATGTATGAAGTTTTTATGAATATATTAAGTATAAATTGCCTACTCGAAAGTTGAAACTATTAAAAATAGTCTAGCTTTTGTATTTTGAAAACTTGAAAATTGTATAATTGACTAATTATATGAATTATCAAGTAAATATAGTATTTTATAATTTTAGATATTTGGTATGTATTATTTTGACTATTAAACGATATTTAAAATGGTTAAGTATTTAAAATAATAATAAAAACAAGTAACGACTTTTTACATTTAAGTCTCGCCTAGACTTGTAAAGCTTAAAGTTTGACTTTCATGTCTAGTCATATTTTGCGCTTTTTAGAACGTCAACCCTGTCTAACCGCCGCGCAACAATTGCCCACTTTCACCCCCATTCGAGGCCTAGGCTCGTAAATATTGAAGTTTGACCTTTACATTTAATCGTGCTTTTACGTTTTCAGAACACTAATCGTGAATAAGCACTAGCCACTACCAACAATTTCTCGCCTTCATCCCATTTTGAAATTCCTACTTCGCTTTGCTTCGCTTTGACTTCCGTTCTCTAGGTCTGCAACCTAGCGTCTCCAATAAAATGACTTTTTACATGAAACGACTACTTATATTAGAAGATCGAACATGAAAAAAATATTCAAGTAGCATTGAGTGAATGATGGCATAACAATGTAGCTCTTGGAGCTCTGAATGTTTATGTAGACTTGGTAAAAGAACAACAAGACTAACAATAGAAATATGACAAATTTCACTACCCTTCGGATCTAGACATATTCTTTCACACCTATTGAATGTCCACATTTGTTGCACGTATGCAGAATCTCTATGCATCCTTGGCCAAATGTGACAATCAAATCCACATCCACGCACACGAACATTATGCCTTTTTGCAAGGGCTCCCACTACTTGCATGTCCGCACTAAGTCATTTACATAAGCAATCATAAAACACTACCCTTTAAAAAGTCGAAACCACACATCTGCCAAAAACCACCTCAAATTGACACCTAGGGGATGAATGTGGAATCTTAAAGAAAATCACCAATTTTGTTGTCAAACATCATCATAGTTCATATATGAAAGTTCATGCCCAATCTTGTCCTCGCGACTGACGAGCTCTTCCCTTGGTCGAGGAGTTCTTCCCTTGGTCGAGGGACATAGGATATGATAGGTTTCACTTGTCCTTAGGGATGTCAAACAGGTTGAGTGGCTCGTCGGCTCGTCAAAACCCGACTCGTGGGCAGCTCAGGTTCGTCATTAGGGGCTTAATCCCATGAGCCGAGCCTACTCGACTTGTTGAGCCCACGAGCCATTTTGACAAACCCACGAGCCGAGCTCGTGGGCTCGTCAAAAAATATTAATTTTTTTTAAAATGTCCAAAATATGCAAATTTACAAAAAAAATTAAAAATTTAAAAAATCACGAGCTCACGAGCAGCTCGTGGCCCGAGCCGAACTCATCCACGAGCAAGCTGGGCTCATCTTCCACAAACCACGAGTCGAGCTCGTGGGTTAAAGAGCCGAGCCGACTCGACTCGACCCATTGTCATCATTACTTGCCCTTCTAAACTGGACACTTGATTGAGGATATGATGGTGCATTTTAGTCGTCAATTGAGCCTCACCAAGTAACTTCCCCGTCTTTTTTCTTTTTCTTAAAATTTTTTTTTAAATTAACGAGCATTTTTTTTCGTTTGTTTTTTATCCCCCTCTTTACTTCTTGGAAAATGCCTATTGTATAGGCCAGTTTCACATGGCATGTACAGCCCCTCACATGTTGGGTGAGGGGATGTGGATGGGTGATTATTAAAAAAAAAAAATTATCCCACTCCCCCTATAATGTGTGTGGCCTGTACAAGGCCTTATGAAATAGGGCCTGTACAGGCAGCAGAACCCTTACTTCTTTATTTGTTTTTTCACTTTTAAGTATTTCCCTACTGTTTTTGGAAAGTGAGCATTGCACAAATCCACAGGGCCTGCACAGGCAATAGAACCCTTACTTCTTTATTTGCTTTCTCACTTTTAAGTGTGATGCTCCCATAGCTACCAACTCACGATCTCGACCTATAGTAGCCCAACATCAACCTGCTCCCAAACCATCAAAAGTGAGGTTGGGGTTCTTAGGTTGGGGTACGTTCTTTTCGACGAACTCATATGCTCTTGTCCCACTCTTTCCAATAATCGAGAAGAGTGAAAATTCTATTTAGACCACAATCCTTACCCTATTGGACTCTTTCTCTAACTCAAACAATAGTTGAACACTTGGAATGAAACAATAACTCTTCATCCTACGAGGATAAGGATCTCACATGATTAAATCCTTTTAGGACTCTATCATCAGCACCTATAAATACATAACCCGGGCTCATTCTTGAGGTACATTTTTCATTATCTCCAGTTTATAGCCTTATGCACTAAATTCCCTATCCGATTTAAGAATCGGAGGGGCGACGAGTATACACATCGTTCCCTTTGTTTCAGGTATTCGAAGATCGTTCCTGTTCATCCAAGCTCGAAGTTTGATCATCAAGTTCGAGATCATTCAGGTACTATTTTTTGGTAGCATTATTGGCACCGTCTGTGGTCAATACACGTTCAAGTCTTTCTCTAGTAAGCTCATCCATCCCGGATAACCCTTCTCCTCCTGAGGAACGCATGTCCCTCAAGAAGAATCGTCGGAGATGCCAACACCTCCTCAAGCTGTTGTTTTCGCCGGAACTTTTGAGGAACTTGGTCAGCAAATGGCTGCATTAATCTAATTGTTAAGCCATAGAAATTCGCACCCATCGCATACCCCCACCCTCGAAGGTGGTTTTATGGTAGATGCCCGGGCTCGAGTCCGTCGAACAACTCATAATGACGGCGGGGTTGGAACTTCAAGTGCACCGCAAGTGGCTTAAGGTTCAAGGTCCGTTACAATGGACTCCACTGAACTTGCTAGAATTATTCAAGAAGGGATAGCAGTGGGTATGCAACAAAATCTCGAGCAGTAACAGGGTTTACCCGCAATACGCCATTCATTCCAGAAGCCCTCTCGCATCCTCTCCTCGACAAGTTCAAGTATCCTCGAATAAAGAAGTACGATGGGATAACCGACCCTATCAATCATCTCAATCTGTACATGGATATCATGAACTTACAGGTTGCACCAGATGCAGTAATGTGCAAGGCCTTCCCTCAGACCCTCACAAACACAGCTACAGATTGGTTTTCCACATTGGAACCCAACTCTATCGCCTCCTTCTCAGATTTGGCTAATAAGTTCTCCACTTTCTTTGTAAGCAGCAAGCGAATTAGAAAGACAACCTCATCACTCATGCAAATGCGTTAACGGCCCAACGAGACACTGCGCAGTTTCAAGACCAGGTTTAATAAAGAAAGGCTTCAGATCCCCGATCTACATACCACAGTCGCAGTCTCAGCTTTGACATATACCATTAAGTGTGAAGCATTCAAGATGTCTCTGTCTAAGACCCCACCGAAGTCTGTAATCGAGCTATTCACACAAGCTGAGAAGTGCATCAATATGGAAGAAACCATGGCACCAAAAAGAGAAGTTTCCTCATCAGGAAAGTCTGATCAGAAAAGGTCGCATGAGTCAAGTCTGAGACAAGATGTACCTTGAGTCAAGCCAAGGTAGGACCCCCCTCAACCTCCTTTACCCGTTTGAACACCTCGAGGTCCAACATTCTGATGGAGATCAATGATTCAAAGGAGCTGAAGTGGCCTCCTAGGTTACGATCTCGATCCGATACTCGTGACAACAGTAAGTACTGTGATTTCCATAGAGATCATAGACGTACAACGGAAGATTGTTTCGCCTTGAAGCGGGAGATTGAAACTCTTATAAAAAGGGGATTTTTGGGCTCTTACATTAGTAACAACAAGCGCCCAAGGAATAATTAGAAAAGAGACAAGGACCCAAAGGGTCGGGAAAACAAGCAACCAATGTGGTACTATCAATATCATTGTCGGAGGAATAGCCTCGGGTGGAGATTCTAGTAGCGGGTTTAAACAATATGCCAGGCAGCCTCCAGCCATCTCAAAATCAGACCTCGATTATATAGACGACATCACTTTTGGAACAGGGGACTTGGATGGCATAGCATTCCTTCATGATGATGCTCTGGTCATATCGACCATCATCGCCAACTTTGAAGTTAAGAAAATTCTGATAGACAATGGAAGTATAGCTAATGTACTGTCTCATGAAGCCTTTGTTCAAATGGGGATCTCATTGGAACAGCTCAGGCCAGTGAGAACGCCTTTCCAAGGGTTCGGAGGTAGGGTCATCACCCCAAAAGGTATCGTCGAGTTGCCTTTAACATTGTGAACAGAAAATAAATAGATAATGCAGATCACCACTTTCGAAGTTATCCGAACTCCAGTGGCCTACGACGCCATATTGGGAAGATCACTGCTCAACGAAATTCAAGCTATTGTCTCAACTTTCCACCTGGCTATGAAGTTTCCTACGAGCACTAGAATCGAGGTAGTTCGAGGCAGCCAAATAGTAGCATGACAGTGTTATGTGACTAGTGTTCGAAAATCAAGAACGACATTATGCAAGTTACAGAGCTAGAGCTCGAGCATGAAAATCAAGAGAGACTAGCTCCGGTGGAAGGATTGAAAGAGGTCAAGCTTGAGCCTAGTAGGAAAGTGACAATCGGTAGGGGGTTAGATACAGCAGTCATGTCTAAACTACTGAATTGTCTCTCCCACAACATTGATGTATTCGTTTGGAATGTTAAGGACACATCTGGAATTGACCCAGAGGTTGCGGTGTACAGATTGAATGTAAAACTGGAGATAAGACTTGTAAAGTAAAGGAAAAGGCAATTTGCACTAGAAAGATGAGAAGTCATAAAGGAAAAAATTGCTAAGCTTGTTAAGGCATAGTTCATTCGGGAAGTCCAGTATCTTGATTGGCTCGCCAATGTGGTTCTTGTAAAAAAGGCTAGCGAAAAGTGACGAGTCTGCATTAACTTCACAGATCTGAATAAAGCATGCCCCGAGGACAGTTATCCTCTACCTCGAATTGACAATCTTGTGGATAACACGTCAGGTCATATGTTGTACATCTTCTTGGATGCATTTTCGAGGGTATCACCAAATACTCATTGCGGAAGAAGACCTCATTCATGACAGAATCAAAACTTATTGCTATAGGGTCATGCCTTTTAGACTGAAGAATGCTGGAGCAACGTATCAAAGGTTGGTAAACAAGATCTTCGCCGAACTAATTGGGAAAACAATCGAAGCATATGTGGATGATATGGTGATTAAGAGCAAACAGGTGAATGGTCATGTCTCTGATCTTGAGGAAGTGTTTGCTACATTGCGAAAGTACAACATAAAGCTTAACCCTACAAAGTGTGCATTTGGGGTGGCATCTGGAAAGTTTTTGGGTTTTATGATTATGCACAGAGGAATAGAGACTAACCCTGATAAAATCCAAGCTCTGATGAGTATGGAAGCCCCTAAGTGCAAAAGAGACATTCAGAAGTTGACAAGTCGCGTAATTGTACTGAACATGTTTGTTTCTCGGGCAGCGGACAAGTGTTTCCCCTTTTTCAAACTACTTCGGGGAAATAAAAGCTTTGACTGGAACAAGGAATGCAACTTAGCTTTTCAGGAGCTCGAGTAGACGTTATCAACACCTCCAGTCCTTACCAAACCCAAACCCGGTGACACGTTGCTATTATACTTGCCATTTCTCAGAATGCAGTAAGCGGGGTCTTGGTAAAGGAAAAAGGAAGAGTTTAGCAGCCTATCTATTATGTAAGTAAAGTACTCATTAATGTAGAGACACTATACAAACTTGCAGAACAGCTCGCCCTCGCTTTGGTAATAGCTGCCAGAAAATTACGGTCGTACTTTCAGTCACATCCAATTGTTGTGCTTACTAACCAACTTCTTAGGCACATACTCCAGAAGCTGGACATCATAGGAAGACTGTTGAAATGGGCAATTGAACTTGGCGAATTTGACATGGAGTGCAAGCCACAACCTGTAATCAAGGCTTAAGCTTTGGCTGACTTCATAGCAGAGCTCACTCTAAGGCCCTCAGAAACACAGGCTAAAGACCCGAGCATGACCTTGAAAATATGGGAGATCTTTGTAGATGGAGCATCCAATAGCTCAGGCTTGGGGACCGGCATCATCATCACAAGTCCGGACAAGACTATGGAGATACAATGTGCGCTCAGATTTGAATTCGAGGCCACCAATAATGAAGCAGAGTATGAAGTCGTTATCATAGCCCTAGAGCTTGCGAAAAATCTTGATCTGGAGTGTGTCAAAATTTCCAGCGACTCACAGCTAGTGGTCGGGCAAATCGAGGGGTCTTTCGAAAGAAAGGACGAAAAGATAAGCATATACTGTCTGAAAGTGCATGACTTCCAGAGACAGTTCGTAGGTTTGAAATCCTGAAGATAGCCAGAGCTGATAACGCCAAAGCTGATGCATTATCTAGACTCGTCTTCATAGGTGTGGACGTGCTTGATAGAACCGTACACATTAAGATGGTTGTAGAACCAGCATAGTTCAAAAGCTAAGTGCCATGGACATCGATCATAAGCCCTCCTGGAAAGATCCAGTAGTTGATTACATAAGTAATGGTAACCTACCCGCAGACCCTCGGCTTGCTAGGAGTATTCGGTATAGAGCTACTAGATATTGTCTAATTGAAGTAGTTTTGTTCCGCAGAAGTTTTACACTCCCTTATCTAAGATATCTCAAACATTCCAAATCTCTTCAAGCCTTAACTGAAGTTCATGAATGTGTTTATGGAAATCACCAAGGAGCTCGAGCTCTTGTATATAAGTTGATAAGATATGGGTAGTATTGGCCAAGTTTGAAGAAAGATGTTGCAGATTATGTTCGAAAATGTGACAAGTGCCAAAAGTTTGGCAATATCATTCATGATCCAACTGAGGAGCTAACTTCTATTCATTACTCATCTCCCTTCGAACAATGAGGAGTCGACATCATTTGGCCATACCCCTTGGCCAGAGGATAATTAAAGTTTGTAGCTGTGACAGTGGAGTATTTCACAAAATGGGTAGAGGCTGAACCACTAGCAACAATTTCGGAGCCGAAGCTCAATTTATTCATATGGAAGTCCATTGTATGCAGGTTTGGAATACCGAAGGTCCTCATCACAGATAACGGAAGGCAATTCGACAATCCACAGTTCAGGAGCTTTTGTGCCAACCATGGGATTGATTATCGCTTGACCTCGGTGTCACACCCACAAAGTAATGGGCTTGGCGAAGTAACTAATCAGATCATATTACAGGACCTATGAACAAGAATAGTGGATGCCAAAGGCGGCTGGCCTGATGAGCTGCCTTCTATAATATAGGCGTACATAACTTCTTTCATGCTTGCTTTTGGACTTGAGGCTACCATTCCAATCGAGGTCAACCTCCCCACAATAAGGAAGCTCGAGATGAATAGAGAGAAACAAACTACTGAACACCTTGACTTGCTTGAAGAAGTAAGAGAGCTAGCCTTATTTAGAGCTGCAAATTATCATAACAAAACGGTGAGGCACTTTAACAACAGGGTCCAGACAATGAGGTTTAGAGCTGGCGATCTCATCCTTAGAAAAGTAGAAACTGCCGGACACCTACCAGGGAAGCTCGGACCAATATGGGAAGGACCCTTTGAGGTCATTAGAAAATTAAAAGGTAGAGCTTACAGTCTAAGTGACACATCAGAGAAGCCATTCCCAAGGCCATGAAACGCCGACAATCTTAAAATTTATTACAAATAACTAGTTATGACTATAATTTTTCCTTTTAAGGCTTGCATGCCCACTTTATGTTTGCTTTATTTCATTTTTACTTTTCGGGCTCTAACGCCCTAACAACTCATGCTCGAATAAGATCGGGTATCAACGCCCTTGAGCCCTTTTAATAATACACAAAATTGTCTTTACGATGTTGCTTCCCTATTAACAAAATTAGCATAAGGCCGTGCTCCACGCATGCAGCTAATACCTTAACAAAATTAGTGTAAGGCCATGCACCTAATACCTTAACAAAATTAGTGTAAGGCCGTGCCCCGCGCATGCAACTAATACCTTAACAAAGTTAGTGTAAGGCTGTGCTCCGCGCATGCAGCTAATACCTTAACAAAGTTAGCATAAGGTCGTGCTCCACGCATGCAGCTAATACCTTAACAAAATTAGCGTAAGGTCGTGCTCAACGCATGCTGCTAATACCTTAACAAAATTAGCATAAGGTCGTGCCCCCGCATGCAGCTAACACTCGACCAATAGAATCAAACACACACTGCCAAGACATCAAACGACAAAAGGTCGGGATCAACAGACCCTGACCTATCCGATCTTAGAAAGTCATGATAATGAAAATGATCAAGATCGAGGTCGGGGTATGAAATAACGTTTATCTTGCGAGACCATACGGGATCTTGTCCATAAAAAAAATTTGTTTAAATTACGAGGGACAAGCCCAAGCTTATCCATTAAATGGTCAGCGACCTAATCGTCGCTCCTCGATATGGGAAATTGAAAAATTAGTTTATAGTACAGGACATTAATACTCGAACTTGTTGACCCCAAACGTAACGCTCCTACTCGAGGCCTTAAAATACATCCTGGAGCTTAGATGAAGCCCAATTTTTCAAGTAAAAGGATCGATCTGTTGATAGTCTCGACGGACGATATTATTAAGACATACTATATCCCCAAACTACTACACACACCCGGGCTACATACATTCTAGTATTGATTATGACATATATCTATACTAACGACAGAACTCTTAACATTTATAACAGCTCGAATTTAAAAATCACAACATCCACACACGAACATAAAATACGTGCACGATCTCGGGACAAAAGCAAGTTGCATGAACTGATAACAAAAAACCTGTCAAAGATCAAAGCACAGTTCGAGCAATATACTTTAGCAAAAAATCAAAAGTTCATAAGCCCAGATTGGGCAAAGTACATAAACAAAAAGAAAAGTTACAATAATGTCTATCTCGGGGTCGAAGTAAGGGCCTAATCTAGATCGATGGGGTTGCTCCCGCCTCCATGGTCAAAGGTCCTAGCATCGTCGTCGTCGTCGTCCCCATCGGCCTCTAAAGAAGAAAGCTCGAGGTCCTTGGTGAGCTCATTCATAGTCTTTAGCTCCTCGACCACGGGCTTCAAGTCTTCTGGGAGCTTGGTCCGGAGGAATGAACGAGCTAGTTGCAACCCGTAGTAATACGAGCCAGACCCGTACTAGCCCAGAAGAGTCCTGAACTCATCAGACTGCTTGAACTCCTCGATGGCCTGAGTTCTAGCCTCTGCCCGAGGTTTCACCAGCTTCTCCTCAAAAGCACTCCAGGATTGAAGGAGCTCGAGCTTTGGCTTCTCGACCTCGTCCCTTGCCACCCCGACCTCGTCCTTGGCTTTCTTAAGGTCCGCGTTGGCCACCTCTAAGGCCCTTTCGAGCTCGTGGGCCCTCTTACAAGCCATCTCGCTCTTGGCCTCGAGCTCGGCTAT